ATCCTTCCAAGTTTCACGGTAATACATTTTGTAGTTTTTGCGTAATCTTGCTGACAAACAAACCCATCAACAGATCTTTGCAGGGGTAATAAGTTTAGGTACTGACAAATAACATCAGTTTACATTTTTGTGGTACAATACAAACATTTAAAGTGCGTCTACACCCCTGGCATATTGGAATCATGTTGATAAAACGTTCTACTTTTTTATACTGTGATCAAATATATTGATATTAAATAAAATAAAAGGTTATCAAGTATAATGTTGGAGTAGACCCAGACTTGGCTGTGGGCAAGCTGCTCACCATGCTGATTTTGTTCATTACTAGGCAGTATTGGTAGTTATTTTATATTCATCCATAGATGTATACTATTGACTGATACTGGTTCTACTGCTGTCACGGGTAATAAGTCCCACTAATTCCAGCTTCTTTCAAAGTTCTTTCTGCTCTTTGCCTCCCATCTCTCCCCTCATTCCCATTTTTCTCCTCTCACCCCAACCGGTCGAGGCAGATGGCAACCCCACACTGAGTCTGGTTCTAGAGGTTTGTCCAAGTAAACGAGGGAGCTTTTCGCTTCACAGTCGCCAAAGTGTTGCTCATTGTGGGAACTGTTGGGTTTCTCTATCAATTTTAGGTCTCGACCTTAACATGTTGTGATTTGGCACTTAAAATTGAACTGAATTGAAATCCTTTTATTTTAATTCATTTGATTTTTTTGCCATGGATTTTGTGAAGCACTTTATAACTTTGTTTAGATAACTGCTATACAAATCATAGTTATTGTATACTAAAATGTGCCTCGATGGCAAGAAGTGTTTGTGACGCTGTCTCGATCGTAACAAAGATACAATAATTGGACACCTCTGATGCATTTACCACTATTAGTGTCAGTTGTTGAAGAACGTGCATATGAGAGCATTTCAGGGGGAATCAGGTGGTTTACTCTGCCCTTCAGCTCACTCCTCTCCTTTGACCTTGCTTTCTCGCTCCATCCTTCTTTCCCCTTGCTCGCACTCCCTCTCTGTCTACCTCTCTCAGTGGAAGCACATCTATAAATAACTCAGCTCTAAGCTGCCACACCCTGCCCCGTGTGTGCGTGTGGATGGGGGTGAGATTTGTTTGCTGCACACATAAAGATGTCAGACTTGCACACAGACACCTTGCTTTGTGGATGTCTGCAAACGTGTGCAAATACAGCACTTTTTGTTTACATATAGAAGGCACTGTATGTTTTGCCTTCTGACCACTGTAGCCACTGTCATTTTTGTGGTGTGTGTGTATATATATATGGGGGTTCAGTGGTATGACTCATCACAGCCTCAGGTGTCCCTTACACCCAACCCTCCCCCTGCTCCTGGCTTCCTCTTTAATTTGTCTCTTTCCCTCCCAATATTTTACTCCACTGCTCTGCTTCCTGTCTTTCATTTATCCTCTCTCCCATGATGGATAAGTAGACTTCTGATGTTGCATCAGTTTAAATGCTTCACCTGTAGGCAACACGTTTTATTAAGCTTTCCTATCAATACGATGATCTGTGTAATCACCTCACCTTATGCTGGACTTTCATTTCAATTTCTCACATTCAAGCTCCTGATTTCTGTCAGTGTTTTTCTGGAGCTATTTCCAATTTTTCAGTTCAATGCTGGATGAAATGCACTCGAACTTGATCTAGAGATGTTTTTTCCTTTTGATAAGGAAAATATTTTATTTAGGTGGTGGCTGAGTGGCATTCTGTTCAATATAGTGTAGTCCACTGTATTTTTAATTGCATCCTGCTTTGCATATTTTCTGTGAATCCAGCCTCAACACACTTCAGTGGTATGCACAATATACAAGTGACTGCAACTAAATATTAGCATCGTTATTTACTGTATGTGATTTTGATGTCTTAGGACATTTGAAAAGTTGTTAATATTTTCATATTTTCAGCTCAAAAGCTTATTTGACTGACTGTAACACAAGGTACATATAGAATGCATGTTGTACTAACACTGGTGTGCCACATAGCCACATTGGAAAGGAAGTTTGTTAGCAAGCTTATTTAGGCCAATGTCAGGCCTGACACATGTAGCTGACCATATCATATGGCTTGTTTCCTAAAAAGCAGCATGAGTCAGTAACAGAGCAGATCCTTATGAGTTATTCACATATTTAGCAGAACTAGCCTCCCAACTTCTCTCGGATCTGACTGAAGCCGGTGTTGGATCATGTAGCCTGAAAATAAGAAATGGATATAGCAACTTACAACATAACCCAACATTTAGCTGAGATATGGTGAAAGGAAGATATGTACTCACAGCAAGTAGGATGTTTAATAACTAAAATCAAACTGTCTGTGGTCAACTTCAAGTATTTCAATTGAACTTGCACATACCGGTGTAAACAGGAAGGCATGTTCCTGTCGATGTACACTTGATGCATTTGGTTGTCAGTTGCAGGATTGTTGCACATTGTTAAAATAACTTCTCACACACATTTGCATCATGGTAAAATGCAGGATTTAACTGCACAACAGCTGTTAGCACAGACTACAGGTTCAGCAACGCTTGTAATTAATTAGCAATGTTGTGTTCTACTCTGGTAGCTGAGGCGCTGATGCTGTTTGTTTCTTTCTGGAAGGGTGTCATGTGATGGGAGCCTGTCTAATCAGCAAAAGTTACGTCATGACCAAAAAGACCCAGTCAGCAAGTAGTTGTTTCCAAACATTTCCGTGTTGACTGTCCAGACTAAAATGCAGCCCTGGAGTTTTCAAACTAAAACGTAGTGAACAGTGTTTTGAAAATTCTCAGTTTTAGTGCCTCTAAAACGCAAAAAAATGTATTAATTAGGATCTACTCAGAAACAACAGAGTGGTGCTATAATGGAGCTCAGAAGCATTTCAATTCCAGTTAATAACAAGTTTTTTTTTAATGCAAGCTCCTCAGAGGTTGATGTGAAACAGGTTGATTCATCACACAGCAAAAGCATATTGGGAGATATAAAGCAGACAGAAAAAAGAGAGATGGGTTGTTGGAGAGGAGAGTTGTAGAGGCGAGACAGCAGAAGAAAAAAGAGTGAGAAGATGGACTGAGCACAAAGAGTTAGAGAGATAGAGTGACTGAGAAGAGAAGTGAGGCCATGAAGACGCCAGGAAGAAGAGGGCAGAAGGCAGCCAAGTGGAGAAGTGTGTGTGTGAGTGTGTATGTGTGTGTGTGTGTGTGCATGCAAGCATGTATGTGTGTAGCCAGATGGCTCCAGCGTGTGGCGACCAGCCAGAGGAACAGGTGCAGGTCACATGACCAGCCGTTACCACGGAGATCGTGATTGCTCTTGGCGTGAGGATGAAAGGAGATGGGCCCCAGGGACACAGAGGGGGCGCAAGAGGAGGAGAGAGGGAGTGAGGCACAGAGCAGGAGAGAGGATGAGCGACATAGACACAGAGCAGGAGAGAGAGATATGCAGGCATACAGTACTGCAGAGGGTAAGACTGTAGTAAAGGCAACACGCACAAACACTTAAACTATTAAAGACGCAACAGTTTAATTTAAGTTAGAAGATAATCTATATGTTTTGTGTTTTTAAAAAGCAACATTTTGTCAAGTGAGCAGCAAAGTTGGATTTGTGTCACTTGTTCAGTTATAGAATCTGGTTTCAGGTTGATCAGATACTCTTGTCAAAAAACATTTATCTCTCCTCATCACTCAGTATTTTCTTCCTGTTGAAATTGATTGTTATTTCTCTTTACTTTTGCAGTTAAGTTAACGGCTGCAACAAAACCTCAGTGGTATCTGGTTAATGTGCTCCATGCAAGCAAACCTTTATGCTAGGCAAGATTATTTATGAAGCAAAGCAAACATCACCACTTTCACTGCAGCAGAATATAACATAGTGTACTGATGGTCTGATGTAGTGTTTTTACTGTATGTTCAAATTGGATGTTTCAGATATGTCATCTTTTCCCACTGTCTTGTGAGCATAAGATATAAAATAATACACTGAGAGGAGGATCAATGGCACCTTTGGGCTGAAATAACCATATGGGCAGAGAACAGTGAAATAAAAACAGAGCCTTTATCAATGCTGAAACATTACATTACATTGAGTCCCAGCAGTGAAAGTTGTCTAATGTATGGAATCATTAGTTTGTGTTTGTGCAGTCCAACAAAACCAATAGTGTAAGTCTTAACCAGTGAAATAAACGTTGTGATCCATGTCAGTGAAATTCAAGAGTCAAAGTCAAACCAGTTAAAGTTGAATCCAAACCCTCAATTCTTTAAATATTATTTCGTGTCTATGACGAGGTAAAGTTAGTTGGTTTCCCTTATATTTTTCAGAATATTTTGGTGTTTATCTACTGGTCATTTGAATGAGGCCACCACATAGAGAGCACTGTGGCCGACTTAGTAAATGTGCCCCTTTTTTTCTTTTTTTTCCATCGCTACCAGTCGAAGAGTAGTTACAATTTTGGTGACTACAGCTTTAGTATGCACACACTTGGAGATGGAGCCAGCTCCGCTTTCTTTCCATGCCAGAGATTAGAGGAGGCCTGGGGGCCTCTCAACCCTTCCCCCCTCCTCTCTCTGGGGCCTCTCTCTCTGTCCCTCACTCTGTCTGTCTGCCTGTCTCTCTGGTTCTCATTCGCTTCCTCCCTCTCTCTCTCTCTCTCTCTCTCTCTCTCTCTCTCTCTCTCTCTCTCCTCCCTCTCCTCCCCTCTGGGCCCCCTTCGCTCTTCCTCTCTATATCTCTCTATCTTGCTACCTTGCTCCCTCCGCCTCCTTGCAGTCTTTCATCATATTAACCCCCTGTGTGCCAGAGCCTGAGGCATAGTAATGATTTCTAAATGGGTAAATCAAACATGGCGACCACCCTGGGACAGACATGCACACACGCACACTAACGCACGCACACAGACACACACACACAGACACACACACACACACAAATGCTGTATAGTCTGTAGAAGTGATAGCATCTTTTCTGTAAAGAATATTTAAGTTTTTTTTCTCTTTTTTTCTTTCAGCAGTAAGAAGGTGGAGTCAGAGGTCGGGGCTGGCACAGCTAAGAAGGATTCCAAGAGGAAGAGAGAGTCATCAGTCAGCGATGATGTGGAGGTGAAGAGTCCACCACCATCACCTCCTGAAGATGAAGATGATGACGGTGTACAGGTAAAAGACCAATACAAGGAATCATACCCTGGTTTTTGATGCTAGATTTGACTTTCAGGTAGCACGCAACTTCAGAAATTGTACAAAGTCATGGCCAATAATGCATTACAGAATAATAATTACACTGGGCTTAGTGCAAAATAAAGTCCATGAACCCTTTGCACTTCCTTGAGTGTCACAGCTTTTAGAGATCGAAGGGACTGGGCCAATAGGCATGTACTGTTGAAGTGCAATGTTGAAAGACCAAGCACATAGGCTGCTTAGCCAAGTCAATCAGCAACAACTTCTCAGGTGCTTAATAAAATTTTTGGCAACATTTGGCATTTCATACAAAAATATTTTCTCCTTCCAGTTTTAAAGAAATGCCAACAAGCAGCTGTGTGGAACTATAATTTTTCAGTGGTTGTTTTGGTACAAAAAGGAGGAACAAGCATCACATCGCTGTATCACTTCTCAATCAGACCCATTGTTTATTTGCCAAAGTAATAGTGGGGCATGTAAACAGAGCATCACCTGGCTATTAACTGCATAATAACGTTTGATACAGATCTGTCTGTCTTTATATCCATCTCTGATATAATAGTGGGAGATGTTATACGATGATATTTTTACACATGTATAGATCTGTCCTTGTGAAGAAGTTTGCTGAAGTGAGAAGAGCATCCAATGCAAAGGTGATCTGTGAATCTTTTGAAGGGCTATAAAACCATAACTGAAACAGAACGTTAACACTTTTGTGTCTCTTCCTTTGACCATCAGAAGCG